CTGTAATTATTTATATATTATTATACTTATTATATATATTATAATATTTATATATTATATGAGGACTTTATTGCCCCAACGGCCATCTGTCCTACGTTTACTTTATTTTATTTAATTACTTTTTACTAATTTTTCAGTCGACAACAAGCCAAATTAGTTTTTAATTTTTGTGGCTTAACAACAGCAGATAATGAAAAAATATAGAGAACCGGTTTTGTGCAGATATTTATTCTCTACGACTTTTATTTAAAACAGTTTTCAAAACACAACAGCAGATAATGAAAAAATATAGAGAACCGTTTTGTGCAGATATTTATTCTCTCCAAAACAGCTTTTATTTCAAACATTTTTTTAAAACAACAACAGCAGATAATGAAAAAATATAGAGAACCGGTTTTGTGCAGATATTTATTCTCTACGACTTTTATTTAAAACAGTTTTCAAAAACAACAGCAGATAATGAAATAATGAAGAGGACCTGTTTTGTGCAGATTTTTATTCTCTACAATTTTATTTAAAACAGATTTCAAAAACAACAGCAGATAATGAAATAATGAAGAGGACCTGTTTTGTACAGAATTTTTGCGTTCTTCGGCCTTTTTTTAATCATTTCATCCCTTTACCGTTAACTTAAATTAAAATTCCTTTTAGAATATTATTATTCACGTATTTGCGGGCTCATTTTTATATATTGCGCCAAAACTGGCCACATTTTGTTTAATTTAAAATTTTACTGGACTGAAGAAGTAATTGTTACACAATGGAGTGGACTCACTATAATGTGAGAATTAAAATAATGTCATACACATATTTGATATTTTCAGTGAGTCAGTTAATAATTTTATAATGACTTTAAATCTTATTATTTAATATTATAAACGGGAAAGTTTGTGAGTACGGATGGATGTTTGTTATTCTTTTGCGCAAAAACTACTGAACGGATTTTGATGAAACTTTACAGTAATATAGTTTATACATTAGAATAACATATAGGGTATAAATAACACGCGGGTGTAACCGCGGGCACAGCTAGTCTATACATACATATAAATAAAATTGGAGTGTCTGTTTGTAATATTGAAATAACCGTTTTTTACTGCATGCATATGAATATAAATACGATATACGAGTATACACCAAAATAACATTTTTTACAATTTGTGTCTGTCTGTCTGTTCCGGTTAATCTTTGAAATGGCTGGACCGATTTTGACGAAACTTTTATTGGCAGGTAGCTGACGTAATAATGAGTAACTTGGCTACTTTTATTTTAGAAAAATTCTCTAACTTTTTCGTTAAATTCCACGCGGACGAAGTTGCGTGTACAGTCTTATATACATATATAACTAGGGTAAGAATGTACCTGTAAAGTGGGGCCTCTGTCGCGTCACTGCAAGTGCAAATGTGCATCTATTCATTTCGAAAAAGAAATAACTGTCTAATTTGTGCAATCAACCGCTATGTACGCTGCTAATAATCTCGAATTTGGACAATATTTTTGTATTTTGTGCTTATATCATTGTGATCTGCGCGACAGCCGTTTAGATGTGGTCTCCAGGAGTACGAGCCCAACATATTGGAGGTAACAAGCCTTGAATGTTTTAATCAGTTAGCGAATTAACATTATATTTCTGAACCAGCGACCGCGCCCTACCGCATGGTGGTGAAACCTTATTTGCTATATTTTGCCGCAATTTCCCACCAATACTAGTGACTAGATGGCGCTGTGTGAATTGTTCAAAGTTTTTATTATTATTTTCTCATACAAGGGAAGCAGTAAAACATGAAAGCATGTTCTTCAACGTTACATTAATTCAGTTGTATCGTTACTCGCTCTTTTGAAATCCTTGCCAATTCGTGTAGATGTTTACTAGCCGATGTATACTTAAACTAGCGTTTTGCCCGCGGCTTCGCTCGCGTTAATTTATCCCCTTAGGAGTGGAATTTATCAAAATCCTTTCTTAGAGAATGCCTACGTCATAGCAACTTTATGTGTGCAAAGTCTCAGCCCGATCAGTTTAAAATTCAAAGTTTCATACAAACTTTCATCCCCTATTTTATCCCCTTGGGGGTAGAATTAATCAAAATCCTTTCTTAGCGGATGCCTACGTCATAACATCTACCTGCATGCCGAATTTCAGTCCAGTGGTTTGGGCTGTGCGTTGATAGATCACTATGTCAGTCAGTCACCTTTGAGTTATATATATTTAGATGTTACAAGTTCGAATCTAAAAAAAACATAAGGAAACTTAAACATATCAATAAGATTTCAATATTATTATTTCAATTGTCTAATCTAACAGCGTGAATAATGGATTATCATACAACTCTGACTACCCCATCTGCATAACATTCGTGATAACGTAAATAATAAATCGATTTTAATGAAACTTTATAAACGCGAAAGTTTGTGAGTATGGATGGATGGATGTTTGTTGCTCTTTCACGTAAAAACTACTGAATGGATTTTGATGAAACTTACTAGCTAATTGAAAATGCGAAAGTTTGTTAGTATGGATGGATGTTTGTTGCTCTTTCACGGAAAAACTACTGAAAGAATTTTGATGAAACTTTACAGTAACATAGCTTATACATCAGAATAACACATAAGCTATAATTTAAAAAGATATTATGTACATTTGGCGATATATAATGATAAGTGCGATGCGGACGAAGTCGCGAGGATCAGCTAGTAGGATATAAAATTGACGTGTGAAACCACGGTCGCAGCTAGTATAAATATGTATGTACGTCTGTGTTAAAATATACAATACACCACTTATCACACGACAAGCCACGCGAATTTCAATACATGTACACAACCACTTTCTCCACTGCGAGACACTCAATAACAGGAAAATGAGTTTTAAATATATACTGACTTATAGACTGTTTTGCCACTTTCATTACTTTTAAATTTTATTATTATACTAGCTGTTCTCGCGACCTCGTCCGCGTGGTATTTAACTTTATTTCTCTAATATAAAAGTAGCCTATGTTACTCCTTATTACTTCAGCTACCTGCCAAAAAAAGTCCCGTCAAAATCTATCCAGCCATTTCAGAGATTAGCCGATACAAACAGCCCGACGGACAGACAAGAATAGTAAAAAGTGGTTTTTTGGTGTATGTACCGTATTTATATTCATATGCATGTATTAAAAAAAGGTTATTTCAATATTACAAACAGACATAATAAGTTTTATGTTAATAACGTGTACAGATAGCCCTTATTTACCATAAAATTATTATCAAATTCAAATTCAAAAATCATTTATTCGTGTAGGGAAGAAATTATTTTAATTTCTTCCCTACCGTCCAGTTCAGTATATAGATGCAATTGAGAAGAACTGTCAAGAAACTCAATTTAATTATTTTTTGTTTATTCGTGTTAAGACTCGGTTAATAGTACTAAAAATAATGTATATTATACACGAATGTTTAAAAATAACAAATCAGATTGAATCTAATGCTAGCAATGTTCGATGTCAGGTTGACTTGCGCGGTCCCCCATGAAATCATGATAAATTCTTGGTGAATTTGTCACGTTGGGCCAACTGACCTGACCACACCATATCGGGTTCGTTCTCGGAAGAGTATAGGTTGAGGTGTGGGGTGAGACAGGGGGTTGTCTTCTCCTGCACTCTTCAGTTTATATGTGAATGACCTGATTGATGGGCTTAGCAGTGCCAGTATCGGATGCTCCATACATGGAAACATGATTAACAGTATAAGTTACGCGGACGATATGGTGCTGTTGAGTCCATCGATTAGTGCACTTCGTCGGCTGCTGAAGACGTGTGAAGAATATGCGGAGTCACATGGCCTCCGATACAATGTTAAAAAGAGCGAGGTCATGATATTTCATGGCAATATAATGACACAGAGAAGTATGCCGGCGGTATGTCTTTATGGCACACCATTGAATCGGGTGTCGCGGTTTAAATACCTGGGTCACATTGTATCGGGGAACTTGAATGATGACTATGACATAGAGAGGGAACGAAGAGCGTTGTCGGTCCGATGTAATATATACTGACTTATAGGTTTGCACGGTGTAATAACGACGTGAAGACAACGTTGTTTAAAGCGTATTGTCAGTCGTTTTACACGTGCGCCTATGGTTTGGGTATACGCAGAGGGCATACAACGCTCTTCGTATACAGTATAATAATGGGTTTAGGATGTTGTTGGGCCTCCCTCGGTCCTGTAGCGCATCAGAGATGTTTGCAGCAGCGCGGGTAGATGGATTTGAAGCCATAATGCGTAAAAGAGCTGCATCACTGATGTCTAGAATTCGGGGGAGCTCAAACAGCATCCTAAAAACTGTTGCTAGTATACCTGATTGTCCGCTCCAGAGGCACTGGATAACGTTGCATTGTGGACCCAGTGCTTCTGGACGTGGACACAGGTATATGAATTAAATTTATCTACGTATATGTATATTATAAGTTACTAACATAGTTTTATAAGTTTTTTACTAACACTATATGGATGTAATTCCGAATTAAAAATAAATAAATAAATAAATATCTTATCATCCTCCACTGATGCCCCGCCAGCGTAAACCGTTGCAGCATTCCATTATCCTTACTATATAATATTATAAATATGAAAGTAGAGATGTTTGTTAGGCTTTCACTCAAAAACTACTGAACCGATCATCATGAAATTTCGTACACATGTTCTTGGAGGCATTAGAATGAACATAGAATACTTTTAATTAAAAAAACAACAATTTTTTTTTAATAAAAACTATATCAATATTTTGCTATTTCAGCGCCATCTAGCAGGCAGTAATGAAGTTATAAATCATATATTTATTGCGATTTTCTTGTCACTCACAGGCAAAATGATTCAATGCGAGCGTAGCCGCGGGTAAAAGCTAGTCATACATAAAAGTTCTAAAGGTCAGCTTGGGTATATTAACTTGCTTGGTCATTTGGTTAAAAAAAATACGCCAAAATACCCCTTATGTATAGTGGTTAGTAGTATATACTCACAAACATCACTCAGGTTGGCTCCTTCGCCATCATTTTGCTCTACAAGACCGGTCGGCAACACGCTCTCTGCAACATGCAACGTACCCGTAAGTTCTACAATAATGGACAAACGTACATACATATTATAATATATTATCAGAGCAGAGGACGGCCGAAAAAGAGATGAACGGAGTGTGTTGGAGATGATTGGGCAAGAATTGTTCTTGCCATATCATCTCCAACACGTTCTAGAAGAGCTGACTACATTATATGTATGTGAATGTAGATAATTGAAAGACATGTATAATATTATACTAGCTGTCCCGGCAAACGTTTATCTATACATATAAATAAAATTGAATTATAAATAAATAAACCTGAATTATAAATAAATAATAATAATAATAATAATAATCTCAGGACAATTCACACAGCGCCATCTAGACCCAAGTTAAGCTAACTAAAGCTTGTGTTATGGGTACTAGACAACTGATACAAATACATAGATATTTTTTTTTCGTAAATACATACATATTATACATAGAAAATACCCAGACCGATACAAACAATCATACTCATGAATACAAAATGTTTGTGCCGTGCGAGGAATCGAACCCGCGACCATCGGACGTAAAGCGGTGTGGTAGACCGCTAGATCACCGAGGCCGTCAATAAAATATTATTATTTTGCAAATTATAATTAATTTCCAACATAATCAACAATTAGAAGTCGCTTGAAAAAGTATATATATACCAGTTATAATTAAATTAATTATCACTTTATTGCATAATATGGCACATAGCATATAACTATTATTCAATAACACTAGTTCATATAGTGCAATCAACAAACATTAACAAATTACAGTTAGCAAGCACATATGCAGGTGATGGTGGTGCTTATCAGGCGAGACGTAAGCTTGATCATTATACCATTCATAGCAATTATGAAATTCAAATTCAAAATATCTTTATTCATGTAGGTCTATTATTAGACTCTTATGATATGTCAAATCTACCGTCAGTTCGGAATGGATAAATAAAATAAATAAATAAATAATTGATAACTTATCTTTTTGACGGCTTCGGTGGTCTAACGGTTTAGCACACCGCCTACTTCCGATGGTCGCGTGTTCGATTCCTCGCACGGCGGAAACAATTATATTCATGAGTATAATTGTTTATATCGGTCTGGGTGTTATCTATGTGTAATATGTATGTATTTACGAAAATATATATATATATAAAATAAATCTATGTATTTGTATCAGTTATCTAGTAGATACCCATAATACAAGCTTTAGCTAGCTGAACTTGGAACTACGTTGTGTGAAATGTGAGATTATTTTTGTATGCTGCCAATTTGATTCATTATCTACAAAGAAAGTTTGAGAACCACTGCTTTATACTTTTTACTAGCTGTTCCCGCGACTTCATCCGCGTGGAATTCAGCTTTATTTTTCTAAAATAAAAGTAGCCTAAGTTACTCGTTATTACCTCACCGACAGAAATGGTAAAAACTGTTATTTTGGTGTATGTACCTATGTATGTATTTATATTCATATGCATGTAGTAAAAAACGGTTATTTCAATATTACAAACAGACACTCCAATTTTATTTATATGTATAGAGTATAGATTAAAAATAACTTTGACTGACAATTAGAAATTGACTAAGCAAATAATGATATCCAGGTTTAAGCGCACACATGGCCATTCTACATCCATGGAATCTTGCTACAAATGGAGTATTAAAAGGTCTTTTTTTTACTTTTAAATACAATTTTTAAAAGTAAAAAAAAAATTACTAATACAAATTATTACATACAATTTTGTTATTTCAATATTACAAACAGACACTCCAATTTTATTTATATGTATAGATGTAAAGGTGCCGAACATTTGGCAACAGATTGGCGCACGCGAGAAAATACCCATAGGATACTGAAAACCACAATCAACTTCAATGCGTCACTAGTTTCATAGAGAACAGAACACATACGTAGCAGTGACCATGCAGTGTGATTTGTATGAGACATCCATACATACATACAATATCTTAATAATAATCTCAGGACAATTCACGCAGCGCCATTTAGACCCAAGTTAAGCTAGCTAAAGCTTGTGTTATGGGTACTAGATAACTGATACATATACATAGATTTTTTTTTATAAATAAATACATATTAAACATAGAAAACACCCAGACCGATACAAACAATCATACTCATGAATACAAATGTTCGTACCGTGCGAGGAATCATACTCATGAATACAAATTTTCGTGTCGTGCGAGGAATCATACTCATGAATACAAATTTTCGTGTCGTGCGAGGAATCATACTCATGAATACAAATTTTCGTGTCGTGCGAGGAATCATACTCATGAATACAAATTTTCGTGTCGTGCGAGGAATCATACTCATGAATACAAATGTTCGTGCGGTGCGAGGAATCGAACCTGCGACCAATCGACCATCGGAAGAAATTTAAAACTATGTTGATTTTGTGTTGGTGATAATTTACAATATCATAACTGTAGCAATTAATTTGTTGCTGCACTTTATAGCAATTAATTTTGTAAACTGTATGTTTGATAACACCGAGATAAAATTGTAACCTTGACTCGTGGATGAGACGTTCATAAGGAGACTTGCAGTTGTTATCTCACGATGACATGAACGCTTCGCAATAATACATCTTTATTATTATTTTCATTTATCGAAATTGAGCTTGTTAGATGAGCAGTAGATTAAAAAATATATTTTTGTAATATTGTTTACTTTTAATCGGGACTGTCTTTTGAATAACACAAACGTATGTCACCCTACTATAGAGAGTTCTCCGTGAAGAATTCTTATTAATTACATTGTAATGCGTAATTACAAAAGTTTATTTAACTAATTGTATTTTCCAGTATTTATGGGAAATTTAAATTATAATTATATAGAATATAATGTAGCGACGATTTTCGAATACTGTGAAATTAATAGTAGTGTAAGATTTATATAATTGTATATGCATATTCCTCACTCATCGTGATTCAAAATGCTGACCACGACCACTCTGACAGGAGTGTACCGACTGAGAAAAAGAATATGCATATTGGTAAATCTAATCCTCCAAATAAAGATGGGTGACACTGCATGTTGTCAACTCACCCGGCCGGCCAGCGGTGGTTCTGGGCCAGACGGATAAGGTCTGCCTCGGTGTCACTGTTAGGCAAATTGTAACATCTCGGCTCGAGTTGTACAAATGTGGAAATTAAATAAATATAATAATATTAAAGTAAATTAAAAGCACGGACGAATATGTCTGTGGAAAATTGTATTTAAAAGTAAAAAAAAGACCTTCGAATACTCTATTTGTAGCAAGATTCCATGGATGTAGAACGGCCATGTGTGCGCTTAAACCAGGATATCCTTATTTGTTTAGTCAATTTCTAATTGTCAGTCAAAGTTATTTTTAATCTATACTCTATACATATAAATAAAATTGGAGTGTCTGTTTGTAATATTGAAATAACCGTTTTTTACTACATGCATATGAATATAAGTACGGTATATACACTAAAATATCATTTTTTACAATTTTTGTCTGTCTGTCTGTCGGTGCCGGCTAATCTCTGAATAGGCTGGACCGATTTTGACGGGACTTTTATGGGCAGGTAGCTGATTTAATGAGTAACTTAGGCTACTTTTATTTTAGAAAAATATAGTTAAATTCCGTGCGGACGAAGTCGCGTGTACAGCTAGTTATTAATATTATTAATCTTTGGCTGGTGCCCCGCCAGCGTACACTATTGCGCAGGGGGGTGCACCATTACATATTCTACCATAAAAAAACCATGATGGTTTTGTGAATAATAATGTTTGCGAACTTAATACTGCACAAGTCAACTTAAAATAATTTAATTGATTTGTTGTTTAAATTACTTTGTAGTTTGTGGTTAGTAAAATGTGTAATCGCATTTGAATGTAGTTTATTTAATTTATTCATATTAAGTACTAGCTGTACCCGCGACTTCGTCCGCGTGGAATATAACTTTATTTTTCTAAAATAAAACTATCCTAAGTTACTTCTTATTACATCAGCTTCTTGCCAATAAAAGTCCCGTCAAAATCGGTCCAGCCTATTCAGAGATTAGCCGGCACAAACAGACAGACAGACAGACAAAAATTGTAAAAAATGTTATTTTGGTGTATGTACCGTATTCATATTCACATGCCAGTAGTAAAAAACGATTATTTCAATATTACAAACAACAGGCTTCAACATATTTTACAATTTTTGTCTGTCTGTCTGTTTGTTCCGGCTAATCTCTGAAATGGCTGGACCGATTTTGACGGGACTTTTATTGGCAGGTAGCTGGTGTACTAAGGAGTAACTTAGGATACTTTTATTTTAGAAAAATAAAGTCAAATTCTTAATGAATTTGTCACGATGGGCTAACTGATCAGACGTCATGCTCATCCTATCATACTCCACTATAACCCCGCCAGCGTAAACCATAACGCAGGGGCACCATTATATTATCATCCATAAAAAAGAACCTATCCAAAATCTAACTACGCTGACTACCATGTCTTACTGATAACATCACCACCCGTGATAACAGAAATATTAATAGCAATAATACCTACAACTTATTGTATCCTTTTCTTGCAATGCAAATGAGTATGAAAATGAAAATCAGCAATGCGCGGGCGCAGGTTATCAGCGAAAGCGGGTAAGTGGCGACTGAGTAATGGTATTAGATAGCACTGTGTCAAGACACAGGCGACACGCGTATTACGTTCCTATAAGATAAAAATCTTGCAGCTTCGGTTTAATACATCGCTTTACTTCCGATGGTCGCGGCTTCGATTCCTCGAACTGTGCAAACATTTGCTTGTATTGTTTGTATCGATCTGGGTGTTTTGTATGTATATGCAAAAAATATCTAAGTATTTACATCAGTTGTCTAGTACCCACAATACAAGCTGTGCTTACCGTGGGACTAGATGGCGCTGTGTCTGGTTCGCTGACTTTATTGTCCAGGGTTATTTATTTATTAATTCAAACTACAAATATAAATAGTCTTTAAT